ACTAAATTAACCTAGAGAAAAAAAAGCATTATATAACTCTGGAATACACCTTTTGCATCCAGTAAATCCGAAGACGGATAGCAGAAGGTCCAGTATATGTCTGGCAATCTATTCAGGCAAATGAGAGATTTGACGTGACAGATACGTAGTTCGAACGACAGATGCTGAGTATACCACGGGCTGAACATCTGAACAAGGTGAAAGTTTTAAGGAAAAATGATAAGAACTAAAAGAAACTTATCCTTAAAAGCAGAAAAAGACAGTAGAAATTTTTAGAACACATAAGAAAGACGGCTTGGATGATCGAACTCTCACAGGATAAATTGAAGACAAGAAGCAAGGAGAAACAACGACTCATCTATTTAACAAGTTGGTGAGAATAGTTGACAGAACAGGGATAAAGAGGAAGAGAAAAGAGTCAAAAGTTACTTAAATCAACAAAAGAAAAGAAGGTGTGGATGTCTTGATCTTCTTAGAGAAACATGTTAGATGGACAAGAGTCAAGCAAAAAGATATGACACTTAATATGAGACAATTGATATTTTATTTTAAAATTTGTTCAAACTAGTATCCTCTTTTTTTAATCATTTCACAGCAAGAGGCTAGTGGTTACGGAATTTGAAAACATATGAGAAAAAGAAAGATCTAATTTAATCAGCAGTCTATCAGTGAAAGATTACTTAATGATTACATAAAGCATAAGTCTAAAATGTAAATAACAATTCATATTCTTTCTTTCTTTAAAAAGGAATTAATTGAATGTTTTCTTTTTTTATTCTTCAATTGCAAAAATGCAGTGAAATTCCCATGATTAAAGATATTTACTGTTTTGTCCTTATAAGAGTGCAATGAACGCTTCTCTTTGTGAATAGTTTATCGATTAAAATCGGGATAAAAGGAACTGTAAACTAATGTAAAGTTCTGATTAATGATCTGATTTCTTAGAACAGCGATTATTGAAATTAAACCTAATGTACTTGGTGACTATTCCCTGGGGAACATTTCAAGATGATACCGTTTATATTCTTAAAAGCGTTCGTGTTTATTGATTGCTCATCAATATTCACCGATTTCCATCGACTTTATGCTTAGAGGTAAACGAATCAGCGAGTTGCCTAACGGTTAACGCTGTTGAAAGTTGAGTCGGCTAGTCGGGTTCAAGTTCCATCTTGATCTTCGTAATAAGCCTATTGATTAAGGCATGAACCCATTTCTTCGCCAGCTATGTGTTAAATAGTAGAAACGATTAGGTTATCTAGCTTTGGTTAGCAGCCGGACTAGGAGAAGGATAACGTCATGTCATGACACAAGTTCCATAACCCATTAAAGTCATTGAAGTAACACTTGGGACGATAATTCAATATACGCGCTGATAACCGTTGCACTATCTGCGCCTCGGGAGAAGGATAAATCAGAATTCAAAGTCGTGAAGACAGAAATGGGAAACCTCGTCACTATATTTACCACAGCAATTAACAAGTAAAGAAGAAAAAGGAATCTGTGGAGAACCATAATCGCTTATATCGTGAAGGTACACGAGATATCTACGGTTATAAATAATAGAAGGCAGTATCCAATGAAAATCAGATGTACTATGAACCAACTATTTTTTCAAGTAACCAAGTAATTTATAATTATACTAAGTAATATTATATATATATATATATATATATATATATATATATATATATATATATATATATATATAGTGGACATTGCAGTCACACCTAGCGGCGAAAGTCAGTTTCATGCTTATACGCAATTGATGGCGTAACGTTTGCGTATAAGCGTTGAAACAGACTCTCGTCGCTTTAACCTCAGTGTCTACTTTATATTTACATGCCCACTATCCCTGATATTGAACACTTTAACTTTATTAATAAATATACCATATATTAAAACTATATATATATATGTGTGTGTGTGTGTGTGTGTGTGTGTGTGTGTGTGTGTGTGTGCAAATATATGGATATAGATTCGACAGTATGAAGAAAAATATACTGAAAAAAAAACAAACAAAAATCCTAATATGCGATTCTGCTGTTTTAATGTTTAATGACGACGTCGGACGTTTCGGTCTAATAGACCATCTTCAGGACATATTCATAAAACATAATTAACATAGACCATATACAATTCAACATGAAAAAGACGATGGACATAAAAGCAATACCAATCCAAACAGATAACTGAAATCTTTTATAAGATCAGCGTTCCGTTTAAATATGATCACGTCGTCGTCACGTGGGCGATGTTGTGAAAATGTACGTTTGTCGAGCATTAATCTTGCTAGAAAAGGGGAAATATTAAATATTAACACTAGACCCGGCTTCTTTAATATTTCCCCTTTTCTAGCAAGATTAATGCTCGACAAACGTACATATAAGTTTTAGATCAAAAATAAAATTCTTTTCGTTTTTCATTCAAAATATCAAATTTTAGGAATACGTTTGTATGTCTAATATTCCAAGGTCAGGTACAAATACTGGAATGTTTGCAGAGTATATTTTATGTACGCTTATTAAATAAACAGCATTTTATAACTCACTATAGTGACAATATTACAACCGAAAACCTAAATTTTCCAAAACATATATATATATATATATATATATATATATATATATATATATATATATATATATATATATATATATATATTTATTAAAGACATTTTTATGTTTAACGTTCTTGATGTCTGCAGTTACACTCGAGGCTTCATTCTCAGTCATGTGGGTCATGACATTTCTTGATGTTCACAGTTACTTTTGGAGTTTTTTTTTTAAAGAGTTGGATCATGACATTCTTTTGTGCCTAAAGTCACTACTGGAACTTCACCACCATTTTGTGGGATAATAACCTAAAAAGAATATATATATATATATATATATATATATATATATATATATATATATATATATATATATATATATATATATGTATGTATGTATATTAAAGAAATGGACAAATCCGACAATTTATTAAAGACATTTTTATGTTTTTAACATTCTTTTTATAGATACAAGTATTTAAGTAAATGCTCTGTTTATAATAAACAGTATTAAATAACATTTACCGAATGTCCGAGAAATTTTCATAGAAAATATTCGTATAGGATGCAGGTTCGAATCCTGTCAAAGGACGAATATTTTCTTTGAAAATTTTTCGGACATTCAGGACGGTAAATGTTATTTAATACTGTTTATTATAAACAGAGCATTTACTTAAATACTTGTATCTATAAAAAAGAACGTTAAACATAAAAATGTCTTTAATAAATAAATTGTCGGACTTTGTCCATTTCTTAATATATATATATATATATATATATTCGATCACCAGTATAATAAAACTATTTAGTAAATATAGAAAGAAAAATATAGTCTTTCCATTTCATATCAGCAGAGAACGTGAGCGGGAGAAGACGCAACTAGTCACTTTCCTCAAGGGTTAGCATCAGTCATGATTATAGAAAGCAGCGTGATGTCTCTCAAGTTTATGATTCATGGAGAGAAGTTTAGTTTAGGAGGCATTAAAATTAACAAGCAATCTTTTGCCTCATTTAACGACGGACTTGAGTTCGTTTTGGACATCGGCTGTCATTTTGACCTTGTCAGACTGGTAAACCTTACTATCGAGTCAGTAAATGGTTGTGTTATCAGCGTAGTTACCAAGTTGAGAGCTGATGTCACCAGGAAGGTCATTATTGAAAATTAAAGGAAGTAGGACCAAGGATGTTGCCCTGGGGGCCATCCGCGTTAGTATGAAAGGATCTAGACGAGTGGCCGTTCACGATAACTAATTTCACGTCTTTATCCACTGTTAAGGCAGTGGAGAACTTTCAGAGGGAAAAATTAACAGGAGATAACTGATAACTCACATCCATTAAACATGGCACGTGGAACTAGAACAGTCTACCCCAGTGAGCGAAATAAAGGGTTCAGTTTGACATTTCAACCACCTGAAGAAGGCCGGAGCGTACAACGGCCGAAACGTTGTAATAAATATGGCGGTAAAAATGAGGACAATAGTCCGAATTATGTAAATAGTGTACATAATACTACATCACAGAAATGTAGAGAGACATTCACCGTTTTTATCTAGAGCATGATAGACCCTTTTCGCAATTATCGTCAGCAGTTCACCTGGACACATTTAAAAATTTTATTTATATTATTTTATATTACTGATTTCGAACAAATATCAAACTAAAATTATAACATCGACATATACATCTAATTATTTTTATGATAAATAATTGTAATAATTACTGAGCTTGAAATTTAATTATATATCAGCATTTTTAGGAGATAACTAGCGAAAAAGATCCGTTGAAATTCCAGTAACTTTGAAGTAACTAACGTATTGTCGAGGATGGTCAGTCACATAACGTGTATTCCGTCTTAGACCGAACGAAGAAGATCATCCCTGATTGCAGCTCTCATTCTAAATCCAGAATCCAAATTAATTAAGAATAGACAACTAATATAGAAGCGCCAGATTTAATTTTTCGAAAAGCCCACCACTATAACTGATGATAACTGACCCGTGCATCAAACGCTGATCTCACAATACTAATAAGACACGTGGTATTAACTTACTAGTAAGACATGTGGCATTAAATTAGTAAAACATGTAGCGTTAACTTTTAAGAAAATTCACATTTGCCATGCAAGCGTTGATTACACAAGTCGCTTATGATGCGTGGTTTACTCAATTTCTAGAAATGGAAGATTTCGTTTAATCCCTTTGCATTCTCTTGCCATTTTTTGTGAGTCAGGATGTAAGCTGATTCCACCTCATAAAACCTGTCAGCCTAGCTGTCCATCTGATTTTTTTTATTCCTGATTCACCTGTTGAGATAAATCATTAACTGCAGTCAAGTCTTACTTCATATAATGTATTAGCAGGCAATAATGACGGGAACATAGTACTTCGATAGCAAGTTGACTAATGCACTGTTCATCTCAAAGCCATTTAGCCTGGAACCTCAACAGCAGTCAGGCCGATGCTACTATTGCTGTATTCTCCTTTTTTTGTTCTTTGTCTTTCGTTTTCAGTAGTTGCAGCTGAGAGGGAGAGGAAAAGAGAGAGAGACAGACAGAGAGGAAAAGAGAGCTAGCAAAAGAGTGGGAAGAGAGAAAGCGAGAAAAAAGAAAGAGAGAAAGGAAGAAAAAGGGAAAGAGACAAAGGAAGAAAAAGGAAAAGAGGGAAAGCAAGAAAGATAGAAAGAGAGAAAGGAAGAAAAAGGAAATAAGAGAGGGAAAGGAAGAGAGAGGGAAAATGAAGAGAGAGGGAAATGAAATGGGAGGGAAATGAAGAGAGAGGGAAATGAATAGAGGGGGTATGAAGAGAGAGGGAAAGGAAGAGAGAGGGACATGAAAAGGGAGAGAAATGAAGTGAGGGGGGATATGAAGAGAGGGAGAAATGAAGAGTAAGGGAAAGGAAGAAAGAGGGAAATGAAAAGAGAGGGAAATGAAAAGGGAGGGAAATGAAGAGAGGGGGATATGAGGAGAGGGGGAAATGAAGAGCGGGGAAAGGAAGAGAGAGTGAAATGAAAAGAGTGGGAAATGAAAAGAGGGAAATGAAGAGAGGGGGATATGAAGAGAGGGGCATATGAAGAGAGGGAGAAATGAAGAGGGAGGAAAAGGAAGAGAGAGGGAAATGAAGAGAGGGGAAAGGAAGAGGGGGGGATATGAAGAGAGGGGGAAAAGAAGAGAGGGAGAAAGGAAGAGAGAGGGAAAGAAAAAACAAGATGGAATCGGTCTATTTACTGTTTCACTTTGCCTTTGCTCTCAACGGTTCGCGTTTAATTTTGTTTTTACTTTTACTCACATAAAGAATCGTCATAATTATAATCTTTCCCAATTCTTCCAATGTCACGGAACAAAATAACTTACAAGCAATATATGAAATATTCAGAAAATACAAAAAAATGTAATTTTGACGAATACAGTCTAATTTTATTTTTGCTTAGATATTCAGCTTGTAGAGTTTGGTGATGTTATTTAAGTGTTGCTTAGTTTTAGCTCAAGGCCATCAGTAAAGAACACTAACTGTGGATCGAAATCACTACTAATAATCTACATATCCAGCTTACTTATCATGGCACTGCGATCAATTTACCTCCATGTTTGACAAAGTTACTGCCAACTATACAACGTACTCTAACCAAGAATCGTTTTTCTTCGGATGATTTCAAGTGGTTTTAAATTTTATTCATACGTTTTATTGTTGTTGTTTTTTATTTATTTATTTATTTTTTTAATCAAATTCACCCCAAGCAAGGCACAAGGAGTTACTGGGTGTGGAAGAATTATAAAACAGAAACACTACTAAAGAGTGAGTACAGAAGAAGAGCAATCAGGACAGCAGATAGCAATTGCCTTGCATTTAAATTTTTGAGGGTTAAAGTTGACTGGAAAAGGTGATCTACAAGCGAGATCTGCAAGAAAAGAATGTTAGCTTAGAACGTACGGTTACACCTCGCCAACTCAACAGTATATAGATGAGACCTTCTTGCTAGTCGAGTACTGCGCTTAAATTCATAAAGTCTATGTACCATACAATGAAAGTATTTATAAAAAAAGTCCCTAGGGGGCAACATCACGGCGGTAGGAAAGTGACTGAAGCCGAGACGCAAGATCACGACCAATGATATTGCTGATTCTTTAGATTTTTTCAAGACTCTCTAGATATATTGCAGGAGCACCAGACCAAATGTGGCAGTAATATTCTATCCAGGGACAAAATATAGATTTATAGATATGCAAGATAAATTCTGGGAAGAAAAAACTGTCTAGCGCGACACAGTGAACCGACTTTCTTAGCAGCTGTTCTGGCAATGGATTCAGTCTTTCCACTTTATGTCAGTCGAGAACGTTAGCAACGAGTCGCCCCCTTGGACGTTAGCATCAGCCATGTTGAAGGAAAGTAGAGACGGGTCTGTCAGATGATTAATAGAGAACAACTTAGTTTTGGAGGGATTAAAATTAAGAAGCCATAATTACCCTAGTTAACAACAGACTGAAGGTCGTTTTTGACAGCAGCCCCCAATTTGACCTTATGGAGCCAATCGGATTTACTATCGAGACAAGAGTAAATAGTTGTTTAACTTCTTTTATAATCGACATTGTCATTAATAAATGAAGCGTTTAAAGACGAAGTAGTATTTTATTAAAAAAAATTCTTTGTCTAACTCATTCCCCAAAATCTGATTAAATGAATAAACCTCAAATCTGTTCACTTACTTGATCAGAGTGAGAACTTTTCACATGCTTTCATGATGAGAAACACATATCCAAAATTTACGTCTGTATTCATATTTGCTTGCAGTTCCTATTTTTCGCAAAATTTACTTGGTATTTTCATCATTCCTCAGCGGTACATCTGTCGCTGCAAGTCTGATTCATATGTGAGCAGATTATCCAACACTCATTGCTTTATAGGCGATTACATTAGTCCGTTCCAAGGCCACATAATCGAGTTCAATCTTGTAGTGAGGGTCTGCTTTGAGATGTTCAAACTTTACAATGATGCGATCCTCAGAGAATTAGAAGTTCGATCAGGGTACATATTATTGGTGGATATAATCATAAGATAACATTGTATAATGGTCAGCAAGCTTATCTCGAGAACAATTCCGACTGAATAGTGAATTCGACCCTCACTAGGTGCCACATACTTTTGGCCTTGTACTACATCTAAACTTCGCTTCGAAAATCACCATAACATACAGTATGCGTATGATGCAATTGATAGCAGACACGAAAGATACACGAATACGGAAGGTAATAAAAGAAAGTGAGAAAAAAATTATTAACATCAATTTTAAGACGGACTGTGTGGTTGCAAACGAGAGGAATAACCCAAGATGCGAAGTGCAATTTGGAGACGCCAAAAATGAAGCCAGAACAAAAATTTAAATACCAAGAATGTGTCTTAAACCTTTGTTTGTCTTGCGCATCATATGTTATGTGATTTCCATGTCCATGCGTCATATCTGGTACACATGAGCCATGATTTTAAAAGAGTGGTGAAACGCTCAAGAAAAGAGTCTACTATTGAGCAGGACAACTGAAGAAAGCCATAATCTAATACTTTGTTCATCAAATATGACCACAGGACGTTTGACTGATAATGTAAATTCGCAAATGAAAGATATCTATTTTTTCACTTTATTGAAATGATTATTAACCTTTGCGTCACATGTGATGCACTGAGCGTAGTGTAAAAAACTCATGATTTGTATCATTGCCTTATAAGCAATTACATTAGTCCGTTCGGAGGACACATAATCGAATTCAATCTTGTAACGAGGGATCACTGGATCTAACTAACGCCTTTATCCACTGTGCTATGTGTCCTTGAGGACAGGACCCAAAGAGTGTGAGTTCAATACCTTGTTAAGGCGGTGGAGAACTTGGAGAGGGGAATTAACAGGAGATAACTGATAAGTGACATCCATTAGAAATGGCACGTGGAACTAGAACAGTCTACCCCCGTGAGCGAAATAAAGGGTTCAGTTCGACATTACAACCATCTGAAGAAGGCGTACAACGGCCGACACGTTGTGATAAATATGGCGACAAAGATGAAGACAATAGTCCGAAAAATATAGTGTACATTAGCCACACTAATCCCACGCCGAGGCTCTTCCGTTACGATAGGTGAATAATAAAATTTGCTTACATGTGTGACATGATTAATTATCATCTTTCGTGTGTTGTATCATTTCAGGATGTGGGTGATCATGGCTCTCCGCAACTTCCTGTCTCTTGTAACTAAATAACTTTTGCCCTTTTACCATACCTTGTTCTGTCACTCAATTTATCAACTGAAAAGAAAATGACAGTTGGCAGGTTTGGTGTCAGCTTTCAAGGCTAAATTGGAACGATGGAAATGGACAGGATCATATTTGATAAATTCTGAAATATCCGATATTTGGTGAGAGATTGAAATTCCAACCTCATTCTCACACCTGCTGCCCTATCGCCTATCTATCACTTATCTATTTGTCACCTATCTATTTGTTACCTATGTATTAAGTGGATTTGAGTGCTACTTCTCAGCCGAATATATCACAGGAACGGGTCAGTGATCTATTTGTCAGTATCCTCATTGAATCTTTATTGTCAGCACAAGAAGATCAACGACTTGAGTTTGCAAATGACACTCGGCTCAAAAGTCTATTTTACGTTTTCTCTGTAGATATACTAAGTCAAAGTCACAGTTAATCTTGTTATGAAAACATTGAAAACCTTGCTTCTCGCATAAATGCATAAAAAAGAAAACTCAATCACGAAAAAGACTGGAAATAGGAAAGCCTCTTCGATTATTGCTGCCTCCCATTCATCCAAATATAACCGTCTCGTGGCATGGAAACCAGCCAAATGCTCTCATTGATTTAGTGATATCGGAATGTTACTGTAATATGTTTATACGAATAGAATGGGATAGGTCTTTATTATCCAAACATTAGAGATTTTTTCCACGGCTGACATTTCGTTGTATAAGATTATGGGCAAAAAGCTTGAAGCCATCACTTCCCCACAAGATATTGATTAAATAATAGGAATTACATCTTGAAAAATCTCCAGAATTTGTTGATATAATATTCATTCGTAAAAAAGGAACTATTCTTATACTCCAAAAATGTATTTTGGCTTTAAATAACCCACAAATGGTTGATATGCCGTAAAAAGTTTATAGCCAATAATATTATTTTATAAGCTTTTCTGATACCATGGAGCGAACATGGGAGCAACAACGAAGCTTTAGAGAAAATGGAAACAAAGACGAAATTTATACATAAAGAGACAGTTGGAATTTCTAGGGCATATAATGAGGAAAGCTGGCTTGGAAAATCTGTTACTCACAGGAGTGATTGAAGAAAGAGTGGAAAACAACACATAACCTATGTAGCGAGTTTGAGTAAATGGGCGGCAGAACAGGGATTAGTACAAATTTTTAAAAGTCAAAATTCATGAAGCGCTATAAAAGACAGGAGATTGTGGAAAGCCATGATCGACAACGTCCTGAAGGAACACGGCACATAGAAGAATCCTAAAGATAAACATTCCTTTGTAAATACAAATACACATTTTATCATCTGTCCATATTTTTGAGATGAGGTATTGTAACTATTTACAGTGTTCGAACTGCGTCCTCATCTTTATTGCCATTTTCACGACGTTTCGGTCCTTGTACGCTCCGGCCTTCTTCAGGTAATATATGTTGGAATTTCGTACCGAAGTGTTTATTTAGGTAGATTTTATCAAGAATCTTCTTTGTAAAAGGAAAGAAAATTCATTTCCTTTGGTCTTGATATTCGTTTGATAAAGTATTTTCGAAACGAAACTGAGTGTGATAGCCGAATTGTTGGCAGGAATCGAGAATATGCGACTGAATCTCTTCCAGCGGGATAATACTCTCTGGAACTAACCACCTACCAAGTCAATGATTATTGGCTCAAATATAAACGGCCTATCGCCGAAACGGGTACATACTTAACGATTCACATCTAAACGGTTAATATTTACCTAAACAGAAACCAAGTAAATTCCTATATACTCAAATATAAACGACCAATATTCTTCTTCTTCGCAAAACAATTAAATGCTTATAGACACAAACATAAATGACCAATAATTACCTATTCTTGAACCAAGATTCAATTTATCAATTGACAAAAACTCGTTAAGTAGGTGTTATACAGGAATAAAGTGTCGCTACCGACACTTGAGTTTGAACATAGATCAACATAGGCGATCCCATTATTGAATTAAGTCGATCACACGACCAGAGAGGAAACGCATAAGTCGAAAATTAGCTTGGCGTCTAATTGATCACCATTTCTATTCTATCTCCTATTACTCTACGGATCGCTATTTCTATTCTATTCTCTATTACTCTACGGATCGCTATTTCTATTCTATTCTCTATTACTCTACGGATCGCTATTTCTATTCTATTCTCTATTACTATACGGATCGCTATTTCTATTCTATTCTCTATTACTATACGGATCGCTATTTCTATTCTATTCTCTATTACTCTACGGATCGCTATTTCTATTCTATTCTCTATTACTATACGGATCGCTATT